ACTCACTGTTCCACAAGTACTGACCAGTGCTAGCAAAAGGGATGGAGTAATGGTGATGGGTCTGAGATGTTTGTTATTGCCCAGTCATCTTAACATATTTTTATGAGAGAGAAATACTAGTGGTTATGGATGTAGTGTGTAATGGTACCTGTAATGGCATTCATTCAGAGTATTGTTTTTAATGCAATATATACATTTTTACACTTGCCTTCATCATTCAGCATCCCCTATAAAAATCTCTTATATGCCTTTTGTCTACACCTCTGTCTGTTTGCTTTTCAGAATAAGTAGTCTTACATGATTACAGAGCTTGTACAAGCATTGTCCTGCATTGCTCAGTATTTTCCTATAATACTAGATATCCTGCCTTAAATTATATAAACATGTATCTTTTCAATATCAGAAGGTGTATTTATTTCTTGAGCTACTTTGCTACTAATTTTTATGATATGACAAAAACAAACTATGTTTTAAAAGCTATTTTGGTGATTGTTTAATCTCAGATAATATAGCTTATGATTATTCCTGATAAGTCATTTATATTCAAATTTTTATGATGAGAGGTTGATAAAACTTCCAAATGTTTACTAATAAATTTCTTTTGTTTTTTTTTTCCAGACGTTAAAGAAACCAGATTACTTTGGGAAATTTGGAAAAATTCATAAAGTTGTTATAAACCACAGCACTAGTTATGCCGGGTCTCAGGTAAGGTGTTGCCTAAATTTTGTCTTTTGTCTTTTTGTCTTTTTTTAATTTTTTGTTTTTCTTATAAGCAAGTAGGTGTGCTATTGATTAGTAAAAACAGTGTTGTTTATAGTGCCGTATGCAGGTCTAATAACATGAAAAGAATGAATGAATGTCCAGAAATGATGAGAAGTACAATAGCTATATGTATTATTCCAATAATATAGTGAAATAGGATATAAGTGTAATATATGACGAAGGTATTTTTTAACCCATCACTGCCGGGTAACAGAAATCCCTGAGCATAATAATTCTGGTGATTTCTGGCAACGGCCAGACACTGGGCGTGGGAGTCTGCCTCATCAAGCAGAATGTCCCACCCCACCCGCTCTGGCATGTTCCCGCGTGTACAGGCATACCCCATTTGCAACAACAAAAAAGTCAGGAAACGTTACTGAATGATGGGCTTAGGGAGAGGAAGAAAATGGGGAAATGGGATGGGGGTGTGGTTTGATGAGGAAGCATGCTAGATAGTACCAGGTTAACCCTTTGTATGTGAGTACATTTACAGTCCACTATAGTTTTTGTGAATTTTATTGCACATAGATGGTGTCATAAGTATTGTCACCAAGGAATTCTCCATTCCTTGATTTTTTGTTTTGTTTATGCTGTTAATGTTGATACTGCAAATATTGTAAAAATACCAACAGTAATAAAAGACAGAAAAATCTTCTAAGATCAAGGAAAAGAGTAAACAGGTGAGATGGGCAGGACTAATGATTGCCTCCATGGTGACCAAGTATTTCTGGAACCATGTATGTCTAAACACAATTATTAAACTAAAGTCACTATGGACATGACATGTAGGTCATGCTATCCCACCACAGTGGTTAATTATTGGACATTACATATATTAATCAAGGGAAAAGATCCTACCTTTTTTGACAATTTGTATGAAATAATGGCCTGATAGTTATGAATGGATACCTGCACAATAAACTGTGATTTGCCATGATCATAGTAAATGTGACCATAGAGGTTAACCCATTAGATTCAGATGTTTCACTGCCATCACATGGCCCAAAATACAGGTATTAGGCTTACTTGAATAAGCCTAATGCCTGTAGGCCGGGCGCACAGTAGTGCGTGTGGTGGCAAGACTCGATGCCTCTCCTTTGTAATGTTATTTTCTCTTTTTCGGCAAAGGCCTAAATAAAAAATAAATTGCCCTTTTCTAATGTCTGTATTTGTCATTTGATTTGCTTTATCTAGATGGTAATAGACTGTTTTCCTTGCACAGACTATATCATTTCTCTAGGTAGTCAGTAACTCTGCTATTTGGGTCATTTTAATTTTTTTTCATAATCAATTTTCTGTATAATAATAAGAAACATGGAAATAGTGTTTTCCCTGGAGCCGGTGCTCTTCCAGTCATGGTTCATGGATGGTATATTTCACACTCCTTTATCAATTGAAATAATACAAAAACTCCTTCTTACATTCCCACTGAGTTCAGTCATCCTTCAAGAGTGTTGTGCACTCATGGTGAGTCATTTCTGTCACCCTGGCCTTCAGCAGAAATTCTCAAGATGGCATATTCCTTTCACTGCAGCCCTCAACCAATTTTTTCCAAGATGGCATATACATGTTACCTGCCCCTCAAGCCAAATTTGTTCTTGTGTTGGTATTGTCATCCAGATCATGGGGATTAATGTTTAGCAGTGACCATAGCTTTGACATCAGGGGGTTAGTTCAGGTTCTAGTATTACATCATGGGGCATGCTGTAATTCTGCACAGATTTTAAGGCTGTGGCATACATTGATTTTTGATTAATGTGGCATACCTGCATCTGTGCTGTACATAATCTAACCCAGCATAACAACCATATCACAAAGCTCTTTTGTTATTTTCAATATCATCATTGTCATTATTGTCATCCATCGTCATCGATCATCATTATCAGCAGCACCCGCACGATCATCATAAACATCATCAGCATTATTATTATTATCATGATTATCATGATTGTCATCATTACTATCATCATAGTTGTTGTCATTAATCATTAATATCATCATTGTTATTCTTAGGCCATCAAAACATTATTGACAACATTTTTATTGACATGACTTTTATATCACTGGCTTGACGTGAAAGAAAAGAGGGAGAGGGAGAGAGCCTTGAAGCAAAACAAACGTGCTATTCTAAGTGCATTTGCACTTGAAGACCTATAGTGATAATAACAGACAAACAAATAGGGAGAAAGGCAGGATGACAAAGATAGAAAACGAGAGGATTTTGCGAGTATGTGGTCTTGAATATTTGTGAATTATTGGTATAGGGAAAGGAAAGGGTTCGTCTTGGAGAAGAGGTTTCAGATGTAAGGCATTGTTCTCTCATTAATGTTGTTATACAGAATAGTTCTAGATTGGTTGTAGTTAGAAGTATGGAACAGTCTCTGTTTATTTATTTATTTTTTTTCCCCCTCCAGTCCCCTCCCCCTGGTTCCCGGGTTAGAAATATCACAAGCGTCTTGACTTGCTGAAATTAGGTTATTCATGAGAGACATTTGTTTTATTTAGGTTTGTGAAGGGTAGACTTGCCAAATATGCAGGGAAGGGGGGGGGAAGGAGGTGGAGGGGGAGGTGCAGGTAAAGAAATGTTTACACCTGGCTGCCAAGTTTTACTTTGGCATCGGTCTGCAAGATCTGTCAAAGGTAAAATGTGTAGGTTCAGATGTTTCTGCTTATCAACCATTTGTAGATGTGTGCTCCTTGGATGGCATCCCATTTGTGGCAAAATCCCTTTGGCTTTTGGTAATATACAGTTGCCATTGCTTATAGGGGTTGAGGGTGCCAAACGTGGATGTTGCTGCCTGCTTATTTTCTTCCAATCGGAGGAAGAATATATATATATATGTATATTTTTTCTCAGTATTTTGTTATTGCTGTTTTTAGTGTTATTTCAGAAAGGTCTGTTGTCAGAATACAGAATTTGAGAATTCTGAAGATTAATTGAGCAAAGTAAGAGAGTGATGACTACATACACTTCTGCCAAAATAATGTCAGAGAAGGACATATTATACAAGTTGGAGATGAGCCTAGGTCCATCTAAGTGGTTAAAGTGGGAGGTCTTGTTGACTTTGACTGAAAGATAGAGTGACATTTATGTTATCCTCAAGGGAAAGGATTACACACAAGAATTTTTTTTACTTTTTTCATTTATGGTTGTATGCTTTAACTAAACCTCACAATTAACCCTTTGCCACCAAAACAAAATGTATAGTTCAATGTAGTTTTGTTTTATGAAATGTGTTTACACAAGTGCTCAGCAACCAAAGAGTCAATCAGTAGACCTTGTGACCTCACCTGATATCCACTTTCATTTTGGAAAAAAATGTTCTTTTAACAAATGCTTTTAATATCAGCTATGTTCATGTGAGAATCATCTGTGTAAAGACAATTAATAAACTTAAACTCTCTGTGGGCATGGCATGTCATACATGCCATACATGCCAACCCAAGGGGCATTGGGTTAATTTTGGTCATCAGTACATATGGTATGGTATCTGTTATATAATACTGTTGGCTTTAATTTGATTTTATGGTTAGGTTTATGAAAATCACTACCTTAACCAAAGTGATGTTTGGTGAAATTCTTTTAATGGTTTATTTTATTCTTGTATTGTAACATAAATGTTAAAAATGTAAGTTTCCTTTCATTATCTGATTAAGACTATTAGTTATAAAGCTTAATATAACTATGCCAATTTTTTTTTTGTTATGGTTTACACATTTCTCTCTTCCTGTACCAAATGTAAATGTTTGTTCATAACCAGAGCTGAAGTGTTTAAAGCATATCAAGATATATTTTACATTTTAAAAAATCTAAATTCAATTTCATCCCAAAATTTTCTCACAAATGTCATTATTTGAAAATGAAATCTTAATTAACAGGGTCCAAGTGCATCAGCGTACGTCACCTATCAGCGTGCAGAGGATGCACTTAGAGCTATCCAAGCTGTAAATAACATCCACGTGGATGGGCGGACGTTGAAGGCCTCCCTTGGTACCACCAAGTACTGCTCCCACTTCATGAAGAACCAGCAGTGCCCTAAACCAGACTGCATGTATCTTCATGAATTAGGTAATGAAAGGCTCATAGCAAAATTAATGAAGAATTAGGTTCTTTTCCTTCTTGATATAGATGCATAATAGATTATTGGATTGTAAACCTTCAAAGAGAAAGTTTTATTTATGTAAGTTTTCCTAGGTGGGGGGAAATAAGAAATTTACAAGTGATTGTACTTGCCTATGTAGTTTTGCTGAATCTTGAGCTACAAGTTTGGTGTGTGTCTGAAGAGGTGTTGAGTAAAATCCATGTGTTAATTGAATTGCCTCTGTTTATGATATATAGAGAATTATCAACCTCAAAGAATGTATCCCTCTAGCTTATCTGTCCCCCAGATGCAAAATGGGGCCTGATTTTCAGGTGTCACAAGGTTAAATATTGGTTACAGGCATTGAAGAACTCAGTTTTATGCATCAGAAGATTATATTTCATTGTCACATAAAAGTGTCAGTTGAGCACAAATTAGAAATAAAGAAAAAAAGTTATCACACTTATCCCTTGTTTGTGATTGAAAATGGTGGCAGCAGTGATAAACAAAACACAAACTTATTTCTATTACATAAGACAATAAAGTATGCATTTGGATGTACTTATAAATATATGTATTAATAATAATAAAAGATATGCCAGGAGGTACAGTCCCATTGTGACTACTGGAAGTGGGAAAACATGACTGTGTTTGGCCTACATGGGCTGTGGAGGTATTGGGGACATGTCATAGGTGTAGCTGAAGGAAAATAGCCAGATAGTACCATGGTTCTCATTTATAAGGAAAAAAGTTTTGGGAGGAAAGTCCATCAGGTTTTTGATAGCCCTTCCACTATCACATTGTTAAATAGGGTAAAATGTTGGTCAAAGTTCACTCATGATACAACAAAGTTATCGCAAGGAGGAAGAGTGGCCCTCTTAAATCCATATTCGTCTTTCAGGAGATGAATCGGCAAGCTTTACGAAGGAGGAGATGCAGCAGGGTAAACATCAAGAGTTTGAAAAGAAGCTTCAAGATCATTACTTAGGGATATCTTCATCTGAAAAAAATAGGTTGGTGGTGATGATATGCACTCTTCAATTCTTTAAAAGTTTGGAGATAATTATTATTGTTGAGGTTTGGAAGGTCATATGATTGATATTGGCAGTTAAATTACTCAGATTAAAATTGTTGTCTTCTTGATCCTGATATTTTGGAAAAGCTAGTCTGCTTTTATTTATATGATGGCCAAGGTGAAAACTATTGAGCTAAGCTCTGCCTCTTCTATCATTATTTATTGCAATTTTTTTTTTCTTGGTTTACTTATGTTTATTTTTTATCATTATTAGCACAGAACCATTTTCAAAGGAAAGATAATGTAAAACCCCTACATAAAATATCATACAGAAAAGGGGCAGAGTTAAAGACGTCATAGCATTTAGTTAACCCCTTGCCGCCGGGTGATGGCGATACGCGTGTAAACAAATCGCTCGAAAGGTGGCGTGCGGCCAAACCAGCCGGCGGCGCGCCAAAGCGCGGCGAGCCAGTGATTCGGGCTGACGCCCCGTACTCCGGCGCTCAAAGTCGGCGCGCTGCCTTTGTTTGCCAGAGCGTAGAGTTTTATTTTCCTTTAGTACACCCGGCGTCATTGGGTTAATAATGGTCCACTCTGAAATATTAGGTATAGTTATATATATAATTATTTGTGTAATTTACATGGGATTGTTATAATTATCAGAAGCAAACAAAAGTTCCACTCTTTTAATACTGATGAAAGTGGTGTGTGCTATAAGTAATCATTTGTGAATGCTCAAGGGTAAAAGTTGATTTCATTTTTGGGTTTAATAGGTTAAAGAAGTGGAGCTTCCTGATTTACCTTGATTATGGCTTACCTGCGTTTTTTTTTTTTTTTCTTTGATAAACATTTTCCATGTTCTTGACTAACCAGTTTTTCAAGCTGAAGAACAGAGAGTTGACTTTGTGGATAGGCATCATTGATATTCAAATTACCGATGGTTTACCATTGCACTCGGCACTGACCTCCCTCCCTCTCTCCTCCCCCTCGTAGCAGCAACCCAATACCTACACCACAACCAGCCACCTCAGGAAATACCACTTCGAGTTCTAGTAAGCGTTCAGCACTGGGTGGGGGCAAGGAGAACACGGCCCCGAAAGAACAGCCGGCAGCAGCCCTCACCCCAGATCCCGACTCAGGCGAGGCATGGCCTTCTCTCCACGCAATAGCCACCAAAGAAAGTAAAAAATCCAAAGGCAGTAAAGGTGATAGAAGTAATGGCTCGACAAAACACACCGATACAGATGAGCATAATAATAATAACAAAAAGTAAGTATATTGTTTTCTTTATTAATTAATTTATTTACCCCCCCCATATCTTATACCCTTCGTAGATTATATTGAAATACACTTATAAGTAAAAATTTGCATTTGTTCTTTATATCGTAGTCAGTTTAACAAGAATGGAGTATTGGATAAATGTGAATGAATTTATTTTTTATTTTATTTTTTATTTTTTGAAAAATGACCAATCTATTTCATTCATGAATTAATCAATTAATTAATATATTTATATATTTGTATGTTTATTTATTTATGCATTGATTTATTTGATTATTTATGAGAAAGTTTGCATACCTGTTGTTAAAGCTTCATATTGCTTTTTTATTTACAAATTACTTAATGAATGTTACTTTCCTTGCAGAGGAAATAAGGAAAGAGAAAGAGAAAGATCTAATAATGCAAGAAGCAGCAATGGCAGCAGTGCCAGCAGTAGCTGTAGCACTGTCAGCAACAGTAGCAGTAGCAGCAATAGCAGCACAAGTGGCAGTAGTAGCAGCTCAAGTAACGGTCTGGGAGTGGATATGGTGAACCACAGCGTGAGTCCTGTGGTGACATCGTCTCCATCCTCGGCACACGAGAGCTGCACCTCATCTGCCTCGACAACACCGCCCCCTTCATTCGACACCCCCATCATCCCTCCCTCGCCTCCTCCCAGTTCCACGTCCCCCATGCCGGTATCCTGCGCGGGGGAGATCCCTCAGGAGGAGTCCCCCCTACCCACACCGCCCTCGTCCCTCTCGTCATCCTCAGAGCCCTCGTCGTCCCTCCCGTTACCACAACAGTTCTCACGCTCGGCTGCCGCAGCTGCTTCGCTCTTCTCGGACAACAGCAACAGTTTCTTTTCCTCTGGGCCTTCTCTTCCACTACAGCGAGCTACACCACCACTTCCACCAGCCTCGTCCCCACAACAACAGCAACAGCTCCACAACAGTCACACTAACAGTCAACAACAGCAACAACATCAACAACAGCAACAACAACAACAACAACAACAACAGCAGCAGCAACAACAGCAACAACAACAACAACAACAACAACAACAACAGCAGCAACAACAACAGCAACAGCAGCAGCAACAACAACAACAACAACAGCAACAACAACAGCAACAACAGCAGCAACAACAGCAGCAGCAACAACAGCATCAGCATCAGCAGCAACATACACTGCACAGTGCTGCCCCAGGTATGTGTAAGTGTATGCGAAGCAAATTTTTAATGATAATGTTAGGAAATGGGAAATGACTTTTTCTATTTGTATGTACAGTTTACATAAAGTCTCTCATGCTTTCCCTTGGTTAATTATATACTACTGAAGGAAAAAAATATCCCTTTGCATAACCTGCATAATTATATATATATATTTTTTTTTCCAGATTGGGCCAGTAAATCAGAAGTATTCAATATGGACAGTGTATTTTCCTCCCAGAATCGCTCAAGTAACACTTGGAACTGTATATTTGATTTTGAAAAGGGTGAAGATATTCCAGGGATCAGTAATTTAGTTGACGATGAACTTGGTTTCGATCCATTTGAAGAAACTAACAAAGCACTAGCAGAAGATATAAAAATAGAACAAAAGCAACAACAACTACAGCGGCACCAGCAGCAACTCCAACAGAACCAACACAACCAACACCAAAGTCAGCATCAGCATCCTCACCTTCAACGGCAACAGCAGCAGCAACAACAACAGCAACAACAATTAAGACAAGGGTTAAAATCAATGCTGGACTACACGACTCCCAGCGGACAGTCTCGTGCCAGATTGCCACCTCCAGGTTTCAATGGCCTCAACAGCTTCAACTCCTTCGGAATGCCTAGACAGAGTCAGCCCGAGCCCAGTAAACTATTACCACCATTCCTCAGTGGTCTAACGGGCAATCCTAGCTTAGGGACACAAGGACTGGGGTCCCAGCCCGGGGTGCCGCCTCTGAATGGCATGGTGAACTCCAATGGCCTGGGCATACCTCCGGGCCTGGGTGGAAACATCCTTGGCGGGGGTAACATGAGTGGGCTCGGGAATGGGGGTCTCTTGGGAGGCCTTGGAAATGGGCTACCTCCACACCTCCTACCGCCTGCGTCCCTTCTAGGTATGGACACACCTCTCAGTGCCTCACAAGGTCCTCCAGGTATAGGAATGCCCAAAGGAGATGCATTCCTCCTTAAAGATCTTGAGAATGGTCTTCGCAATATATTCCCAGCCATAAGTTCCGTTAGCACTATGAACACACTCAATACTGTCAACACACTCAACTCTCTCTCTGGAGCAGCCAACAACCCGACCTCACAAAATAATCCTCTTACAAGCTTCTTAAACATGGCTCACCACCACCAACAGCAGCAACAGCAGCACCAACACCAGCAGCACCAACACCAGCAGCAGCAACAGCATCTTTCTCAGCATTCTCTTCTGCATCAGCTGACAATGAGCTCTCTGGCAAATTCCCACAAAGGTATTAAGATTCTTTGCCTCACATGTTTTGTAATTTTAAAAGTAAAATGTTCAAAGAGAGTTAATAATTGTGCTGCAACAGATGGGGTTTTGTCATATTGCTCGTGTACTTTTCATCTTTATTTGTACTGTTTGTTTTAGTTTCTAGTTTATGAGAAAATCTCACTATTGTTTTTAATACTGCTTAGAGCGCTTGCATATTTTTAGCACATTTTATATTTTAGCTTATTGTTTCTCATGTTTTAGTTGATTTTATCAAGCCACCTGACTACACTACTTTAATCCCTAAAAAAAAAAAAAAAAAAAAAAAAAAAAAAAAAAAAAAAAAAAAAAAAAAAAAAAAAAAAAAAAAAAAAAAAAAAAAAAAAAAAAAAAAAAAAAAAAAAAAAAAAAAAAAAAAAAAAAAAAAAAAAAAAAAAAAAAAAAAAAAAAAAAAAAAAAAAAAAAAAAAAAAAAAAAAAAAAAAAAAAAAAAAAAAAAAAAAAAAAAAAAAAAAAAAAAAAAAAAAAAAAAAAAAAAAAAAAAAAAAAAAAAAAAAAAAAAAAAAAAAAAAAAAAAAAAAAAAAAAAAAAAAAAAAAAAAAAAAAAAAAAAAAAAAAAAAAAAAAAAAAAAAAAAAAAAAAAAAAAAAAAAAAAAAAAAAAAAAAAAAAAAAAAAAAAAAAAAAAAAAAAAAAAAAAAAAAAAAAAAAAAAAAAAAAAAAAAAAAAAAAAAAAAAAAAAAAAAAAAAAAAAAAAAAAAAAAAAAAAAAAAAAAAAAAAAAAAAAAAAAAAAAAAAAAAAAAAAAAAAAAAAAAAAAAAAAAAAAAAAAAAAAAAAAAAAAAAAAAAAAAAAAAAAAAAAAAAAAAAAAAAAAAAAAAAAAAAAAAAAAAAAAAAAAAAAAAAAAAAAAAAAAAAAAAAAAAAAAAAAAAAAAAAAAAAAAAAAAAAAAAAAAAAAAAAAAAAAAAAAAAAAAAAAAAAAAAAAAAAAAAAAAAAAAAAAAAAAAAAAAAAAAAAAAAAAAAAAAAAAAAAAAAAAAAAAAAAAAAAAAAAAAAAAAAAAAAAAAAAAAAAAAAAAAAAAAAAAAAAAAAAAAAAAAAAAAAAAAAAAAAAAAAAAAAAAAAAAAAAAAAAAAAAAAAAAAAAAAAAAAAAAAAAAAAAAAAAAAAAAAAAAAAAAAAAAAAAAAAAAAAAAAAAAAAAAAAAAAAAAAAAAAAAAAAAAAAAAAAAAAAAAAAAAAAAAAAAAAAAAAAAAAAAAAAAAAAAAAAAAAAAAAAAAAAAAAAAAAAAAAAAAAAAAAAAAAAAAAAAAAAAAAAAAAAAAAAAAAAAAAAAAAAAAAAAAAAAAAAAAAAAAAAAAAAAAAAAAAAAAAAAAAAAAAAAAAAAAAAAAAAAAAAAAAAAAAAAAAAAAAAAAAAAAAAAAAAAAAAAAAAAAAAAAAAAAAAAAAAAAAAAAAAAAAAAAAAAAAAAAAAAAAAAAAAAAAAAAAAAAAAAAAAAAAAAAAAAAAAAAAAAAAAAAAAAAAAAAAAAAAAAAAAAAAAAAAAAAAAAAAAAAAAAAAAAAAAAAAAAAAAAAAAAAAAAAAAAAAAAAAAAAAAAAAAAAAAAAAAAAAAAAAAAAAAAAAAAAAAAAAAAAAAAAAAAAAAAAAAAAAAAAAAAAAAAAAAAAAAAAAAAAAAAAAAAAAAAAAAAAAAAAAAAAAAAAAAAAAAAAAAAAAAAAAAAAAAAAAAAAAAAAAAAAAAAAAAAAAAAAAAAAAAAAAAAAAAAAAAAAAAAAAAAAAAAAAAAAAAAAAAAAAAAAAAAAAAAAAAAAAAAAAAAAAAAAAAAAAAAAAAAAAAAAAAAAAAAAAAAAAAAAAAAAAAAAAAAAAAAAAAAAAAAAAAAAAAAAAAAAAAAAAAAAAAAAAAAAAAAAAAAAAAAAAAAAAAAAAAAAAAAAAAAAAAAAAAAAAAAAAAAAAAAAAAAAAAAAAAAAAAAAAAAAAAAAAAAAAAAAAAAAAAAAAAAAAAAAAAAAAAAAAAAAAAAAAAAAAAAAAAAAAAAAAAAAAAAAAAAAAAAAAAAAAAAAAAAAAAAAAAAAAAAAAAAAAAAAAAAAAAAAAAAAAAAAAAAAAAAAAAAAAAAAAAAAAAAAAAAAAAAAAAAAAAAAAAAAAAAAAAAAAAAAAAAAAAAAAAAAAAAAAAAAAAAAAAAAAAAAAAAAAAAAAAAAAAAAAAAAAAAAAAAAAAAAAAAAAAAAAAAAAAAAAAAAAAAAAAAAAAAAAAAAAAAAAAAAAAAAAAAAAAAAAAAAAAAAAAAAAAAAAAAAAAAAAAAAAAAAAAAAAAAAAAAAAAAAGAGAGTTAATAATTGTGCTGCAACAGATGGGGTTTTGTCATATTGCTCGTGTACTTTTCATCTTTATTTGTACTGTTTGTTTTAGTTTCTAGTTTATGAGAAAATCTCACTTTATTGTTTTTAATACTGCTTAGAGCGCTTGCATATTTTTAGCACATTTTATATTTTAGCTTATTGTTTCTCATGTTTTAGTTGATTTTATCAAGCCACCTGACTACACTACTTTAATCCCTAAACTGAAGATGAACATTAGAATACCAACTCTCATGAGAAGGTGCTTTCATCTTATAAAGCATGTTTTTATGGTAAAAAATAGTCAAATTGTGTGAAAATGATCAAGAATGTTTAAAAATTACTGTAGTTTCCCATGAGCTTAGAAAGTATCCTAAAGATTACCATAGTCAAATATGTCTTGTCTCACAAGAAGTATGTGACAGGCCATTTAACTGATCTCTCATAAGTCATACTGCAGTTTAAGGGTAAAGGAAGTGAAGTACACAGCTTTCACATAATTACCATTTTACTGGACATGTTTCATATTTCTTATGGTCTCACTTTCAGTATTACACATTTCTTACTTAAAAGTTAAACTATGATTGTGGCACCTCAAAGGTCTTTTGAATTTTTTGTTAGATAAGTGGAACAAACAAATTTTCTTTGCAAATCATGTAAATCATTCTATCTAGATGTATGACACACAGACATGCTATAACTTTTTCCTTTTTCTTTTTTGCAGCATGGAGCAACAGTGGTGCTCCTGACCTCACAGTACTTGACCCGGCTATTGTATCATCAGGACAGCTGACAGATTCCCGTTCAGATTCTCCTCCACACTGGATGAAGACCATGGAACAACTCACAGAAGGAGGCCCACATCCCCTCTGGAACAACTTGCTGCCCTGCAACCTGACGTCCGGTGGTCTGCCATCCGGGTTGGGTCCTCACACAGGCCCAGCGGGTACCGCGGCTCCCACACAGCGCTCCGTAGCACCCATGTGGCCCCCAACCTCCCCACCACCAGGTTTCAACAATATCTCTCCTCTACACCACCCCAAGCAGCATGAACCACACAAAATTGACAGTAAGCAACATTTCCTGCAGCATTGTTGACTTTCAGAATGTTTTGTACAATATTCCCGGAGTTTTTCTGCTCAGATGATGAGGGGGATATGATTATTGCAACTTATTTAGCCAAATAAAAAATTTAAAAAACTAAAAAAAAAAAAAAAAGAGAGAAAAAAAACATTGTTAGCCTTGCAAGGAAAATGGAGAGTGATTAGGCAACAGAACTAGTCATTCACTCTTGGGAGAAAGAGCACTTCTGACACTTGTGGAGTAAATATCAAAAGTGTAACCTCCTACATGGCTTATGCTGTTATTGATGTCAAAATAATATGAGATTAGGCATGTTTTACTTTTTCGGGTGTTGCTTATGATAAGTATATGACTGAAATTATAAAGAAAAAAACAAAAAAAGAGGATGAAGCATTACTGTCGATGAGGAAGCACAGCCCATCATAGGAAACATCAGAATATGAAGTAGAACTTGTGCTTCATGAGGTAGATGAGCATGATGAGGGTCTGTATGTACTCCTCTCTACAGACATATTTAGCCAAGTGATATGCTTATGAAAAATGTCTTGCTATCATATCGTTATACACTATCCTAAAGTTCCCCCCTCCCCCACCCACCCCCCTGCACACTTGTAATCTGTTGCAGAAGTCAGTTAGCCACTTTTGAAAGCTAACCCCCCGAAAAACTTCCAAGTCTTCTGAAAAGTTGGCCAAAATTTGTAGTTGAAGGAGAGGCAAAGAGGTCTACAGGCACTTGTATTATATTAATTCTTCCTCTCTTTCCAGATCTCTAATAGCGGTAAATGGAGACGTTTATATCCTGTATGAGTGAAGATGAATATAGAAGAGTTTATTATATTGAGCTCCAGCCCCTTGTCAACCTGTTCTAAACCATTTATGCGAAGAGCCTACAAGTCATATAGCCACTTGTTGATGCATTGTTTAGAGAGAAAACGGTAGACGGGAAGTGGATTATTTTTCTAATTTGACCAAGTAAGCAGTGAATCCTCAAATGAAATTTCATCATATTTTTTAGATGTTTCTATTGGATTTAATAAAGTGAGAAGAAGAGTCCCTTTTTTTTTAACAACTTTGTATAAATATTAAAAGCTTTACACCAAACTTTCCCTTTGCTGTTTTTGGCAGCCTATTTAACTTGCATGCATTGAGAATCCTATTTTTTATTACTCTTTAAGTTACGAGATAGTACTGCACTTTTGACGGTCTTTACTACCTTTCCAACATTTAGCTGATGTTTCTTGAAGAGTAGTCAGGCATTTTTCAATTTATTTAGTGTTTAACTTGACCCTGGTATAAAAATAAAAATTGTCCGCTCAGTCGCCGGGAGCCAGATCTTTTTGTCATATTGCAGAGGTCAACTTTCCGCTCACGACAACTAAACGGTTTTTAAAAAGACAATGCCCTAGCACGTGACAAGTTTTTAAAGACTATACAGGTGTGAAGGTAATGGGGATCATATAAAGGTACTTCTAGAGTGCTGGATACTAAGGGAGTGTTGCCTTTTTTTCTCTTTTGTTTTGCCAAGACTGAAACAGGATTTTTTTTCTGAGCACCAAGTTCGATCGAGTTTGTTAATACATTGAAGTGTACTTTTTAACTTTTTACTTGACTACTACTGTGTGTAGGAAAACTTAAAGATTACTTGTCTTTTGTAAACTTAGTTTTTTTGTTTTTTGTTTTTATTCTTCTTTTTGATCTTTTCTTTGGTTGGCAGGCTATCTATACTTGTTGTGTAGTTTATTATATGTCTCACCTGCACCCTAAATATACCGGTTGGAAATGGAGAATTTTGAAGGAGGACTTGAAGGTGCAAGACGTTTGTATTAGATTTCTTTATCATATGATATATCTATATATATCTATCTATATATATATATTTATATAATATATAAATATTCACCCTTAGTACCCAGCAATCATATCCGTGTGGTAACTCTTGTGCATATGAGAATGATATTATTCATGTCTGTGCTACTTATCAATGCTGTATACCTACTTCACGAGGCCCTTTCCCCCTCCCCCCTCCCCCCTCCCCACTCCCCACTCCCACAAGACTAATAGGACCTACCTTCCAGTGATTCCATAAACGCTGCAGACTGTTATCCCAACCCTCCTCTGGACAATATATATTTTTTTTCTTTTGTTCATGTACGAGGATATGGAAGTGCTGCTCTCCCATAGAAAGTAGTAATTCTCCACTGCTATGGAAAGGAAAATTGTACCATTTCTTTGTACCATTTACTGCTGTTTGAATCTTCAAAAGTGTGATGAAATGGGAGGGCTGGGGACTATTTTATATCGCGTGCAGAAGAGATGGCTGTCTTTAGACGCAGGCTGTCAAGAGTAGAAGTGAATGCTGCTGGCGAGGAACAAACGTCAAGAGCTGGTCAAGAAGTTTGGTTCATCTGGAGTGCAGACATCGCATCTACTGACTTGTACTAATATGACATCTATTATATAATGTGGATGCTATGGTATATTCTAGGACAACCTTCAACCAAACATTCTAATCAGAAAATAAAATTCAAAACATTTCACATATGGAAATTTTATTTACCGTGCCATTTCCCCCCAAAAAAACGGGTTCATTAAGGTGTTAAAAATTAATAGTTGATGTGTCGATTCTTTTTGTTATTCGTCAAGCAGGCTGTGATTCCTTGTTTCTATCTGCTTTTCTGCTTTTTAGAGTGACAAACAACCAAGAGTTAACTTTGAATGATTATCTGATTTAAATTAAGTGGATCAATGAGAAACTCAGGAAATAATAATAATGAGAATAATAATAATAATAATAATAGTAGTAATAATAATAATAATAATAATAATAATAATAATAATAATAATAATAATAATAAAGATAATGAGAATAATAAATTAATAAATAATTATAAGTAAAAGATAAAAGATAATAAAAGATAATTACTACCACTACTAATACTAATACTACTATGGTAATGATAACTGTGAAGGCAATCATGGTGGGAGTAATAATGATGAAGCTGATAATGATACAACTAATATAATACTATAATATTATAACTAATATTTAATGATAATGATTGAAAATTATAATGTATGATGATGGTGTTGGTGGCAGTGATATATAATGAAACTTCTAAAGTTGATACTAAGAAACCCTCAAGGAAAGTCACAGTGAAAGTACATAATACTTGAGGAGAGAGAGCTTGTATATAAAAATTAGAGTAATACATATTGCAAAGTTTGATGGAGTCCTGGGTGTGTTGTAGATGAACCTGAGGAAGGGAATGGTACGAGGCAAAGTTCTTGCTGGTGAATGAGATGTGTATCATGACCTGGTGTGATTGGAAGAGTTGTGTCCAAGTGAAATGTGAGAGGAAGTATGTTTTCGTTTGGTGAAGGATTCGGGAGAGCGAATATAGTGAGACAGAAATAAAGAAAGGGAAACAGGCACTATGACTTATAAAGTGAAAAAAAAAGACAAACCAAACTGATGCAGAGGCTAAATAAAGTGTAAAAATGATATAGAGGAGAGTTAGCGGCTAACAGAATTAAAAGACTGGGTGTATGTATAAAAAATATACAAAATATCTCGCATTAGAAAGCTGAGAGGTTTCAGGAGGAGGGAGGAGTGCAGTAAACAATCCTGAAGTAGGTGGAATAATGCAAGACAAAGCAGCAACGTAGCTAGGTTGTTAAAAAAGCAGGATGGTACTAAGGCATATTCTAAATTGAAATTACTGGCGGGCAACAGGGCATTATACAATCACAGATATAAACATTGTTTCAAAACAGGTGCATGAATTAAATACTTGATCATAGAAAATAAGAATTACATGGGGAGGGCAAAAGAATTTCACAGAATGCACCAACCCACCCTTCAGGTGACTCTCCATAGATACACTGCTGGTACTGTGTGGGGCTTTTTTTAGGGGGTAAAAGACTATGGAAAAGAACTGCGAGAACAAGTGTGTCTTTTTTGTATAGGATAAGAAAGAGTAAGATACTGATTGGTTACTTTATTTTATTGATAAAATAGAGGGCAGATATGTATTAAGAAAGGTGGAGGAGAGAGAAATGAGAGGGCAGGTATGGGGGAAGAAAAAAATTTAAAAAAGGAGGAAGGCAGACAGTAAATAATGAATAAGAACGTACACTCACGATCTATCTTCCAATTTATCTGTCCATCTGCCTATTTGTCTTAATACCTGTTTATCTATCTATCTATCAGTCTATTTATAAAACTACCTTTCCTCCTACCTATCAGTATTTTCACACGCACACACGCACACACGCACACACGCACACACGCACACACGCACACACGCACACACGCACACACGCACACACGCACACACACACACACACACACACACACACACACACACACACACACACACACACACACACACACACACACACACACACACACACACACAAGTATTATATATATATATATATATATATATATATATATATATATATATATATATGTATTTTTATATATATATATATGTATGTATG